GGGGACCCTGGATCACGTATGTGCCCTATGAGTGGCAGCACTTAACTTTTTGGCATCTGCCCTGAGCAGGCATGACACTGTTTTGTATTATTTGCTGTACTTGTTTTGGAGCTTTAAAAAATCTCCAGGTGTGAAGACAGACTGTCGCTTACCTGACTGGGTTTCTTTTACTTTGGCATCTTGATTCAGGAAGTGGTCAGGAAGAAATTGTTTTGGAATGTAAATCTAGCCGTGTGAAAGCCCTCAGTTCACCATAGCTCTTGTAAGAGTACTTGAGAACAGATACATGTGACTGCGTTACAGAATTGCATCCAGTTCTACAGAAGGTCTCATGAAGCTGCCTAAACTGGCCTTGGCCGCCTTTCACACCGAGCCACAGCAGGGTGTTAAGATCTGACTGGCGTTTCTGAGGCTTTGTCTTACTCAGGCAAGGAGTCTAACACGACTGCTCCTGTTGGTTAGTGTGATCTGTTTCTGGTCCTTAATGTTCCTTTAAATGAGTGTTCACCTCATTTCCTGTAAGCCAGTGATTTTGAAGCGGTTAATGGGCCTCAGTCTCGGTGGGTTACAGAGGGCCTGGCGGGGCCTTTGGACGTGCCCGGGCTGCGGGGAAGAGTGTCGGCATGTGCTCTGAAGTGCTCACGATGCAGCTGCTGTCTGGCTGCGGTGTTCTGATGCACAGTTCAGATGTGAACTGACAGCTAAGCTGCCCTTGGAGGGCCAGTATCTTCACTGTGTTTTCAGGAGTGAAGGAAGATGGGCTAGGCAGTCAGCTCTGAGTGAGTGGTGGCCGTACATTGAGATTCGAGGTGTCTGAGGACTGGCTGTTAACTCTGGTAAAGTGCTGCGGAAGGGCTCAGACCAGCGCCGTGCAGTAATTGTGATGATGGAAGTGTTCTGTACGCTGTCCCGTGTGGTGGGTGCTAGCCGCGTGGCCGTCGGGCACTAAAAATGCGGCTGGTGTGGCTGAGGGACTGATTTCATTAAGTTTCTTGTAGATAGCCACCTGTGGCTGGTAGCTGCTGTGTAGACTGCACGGGTCTGGAACAGCCTTTCTCACCCATTTTTCATCTTTGCATCTCCCTTCTGCCCTCCAGGCCTTTTTCGATTTGCTGCCCAGTTGTCTACGCTGCTCCAGTGAGATTTTATTACCAAGGATACACTGTGTCTCTGTGTTTTTACACCATGGCTCCTGGAGGGCCAGCCACAAGCCCCTGCGAGAGTGCGTGGTCTGGACGGACCGAGGCTTGGGGTGATGGTGCAGCTTAACCCGTCAGTGCGCTTCCTGGACAGGTGCCATGACCGCTGAGGCTAGTGGTACCCGTGAGTGCGGCTCCGAACTTCAAAGCTGAGTGAGTTTTTAGAGGTTAGTAAACTTCTCAGGCAGTTACCCTTTTTTGTCCTGAGGTGACAGTCTCACGGCATCAGCATGCGTCAGTAATGGATGGTACTTCTACCAAGAGGCTGGTGTTTGAAGACCTTGAATCTGATCCAGCCAGGGGTAGGCAGTCGGCAAGTTAAGGGGTCTCGAGGCCATGCTGCCTGAGAGGAGTTGAGAAGATGTTGGGGCTGGTGCTCGAGGCCTGGGGGTCTCCCAGTCGCTCTGCAACCCTGAAAACAGAAGCAGGCAAGGGGTGAGCTCATCACTGTATGTGCCGGCAGAAGCGGGGCGTGTCAGTGTTGTGGAAGAATCTCTCCTGGTAAGTCCTCAGGATACAACAACTTGTAAGGACCCGTGGCAGAATTCAGGTGCTTTGGGTCTGTTTTGCAAGTGGCCTTGTCTATAGGATGGCAGAGCCCCTGTGAGGAGAGGGTGGGAAGGAGCAGCTGGGTCTGACCACTGAAGTTTCCATTTTAACACTTCAAAACCTTTTTTAAATTTTAACACCTTTATTGTGGTATGATTCCTGTACAGTAAACCACAGACATTTCAGGTGTGCGATTCGATGAATTTTGATAGATGTCTACACCCGTGAAACCACCACCACTATCAAAATCCCAAACATTTCTATTACTCCAGAAGTGCAAATTTCGAATTCCTAATTTATCCCTTCCCACCCTCTTTACCCCCTGGTAACCATAAATTAGTTCTCTGTGAGTCTTTCTGTTCCCCAGTTTAACACTTGAGAGCTGCAGAACAGACTGCTTTGTGTGACTTAACAGAGAATGATCATGGCCTCCTTTTGAAGTAAGAAGTGTTTGTTGTTTTCTGTGGGTCATCCCGGGTGTCCAGCCCAGTGACTGACACTTCGTGGACGCTCAGCAGGTGTTTGAATGGAACTAGGAGGGCTTGCCCCTCAGGTCATGTTAGTGACCACCGTTCCTGAGAAAAACGGGAACACGTGATTGGACAGTGGAGCAAAGCCTGGAGGAGGGGCGTCAGGATGTTGTAGCCTGAGGCGGGCTCGTCTCTGAGCGGTCCCGCCAGCTCGCAGGGTGCACATGTCACTGTGACTGCAAGACAGTGGGGGCAGAGGCGGCACTCAGCGGCGGGGCGGGAGGGAGCCACTCAGTGACCCTGCCTGCAGCTCCGTTCTGCTTGCTCTTCGGTCGGCACTGGCCATCGGTCTTCCTGGAGACGGGTCTGCACTGCAGTGCGTGCAGTGTGACCCAGTGCTGACACCTGCTGGGGTTCTAGGCACGTAGGTGAACGGGGTGTGTGTCTCAGATGTGTGACTAGGACCTGAGGCACGTGTCTATCCGTTTACATGTGAATACAGCAAACATCATGACGTAGGTGTGAGAGACGTGTAGTGAGACTTGGAAGGTGCAGTGATGCCGACTGACTCAGTGCAGGATTTTCATCACCCTTGGGAAAGCTGTCCTGCCATGACAGCCACTTGCGGAGTGTATTTGATGAGCTGGGTGGGACGCCAAGGCCTTTCTCTGCATTATCTCATTCTTCACATGAGAACAGAGGCGTGTTTACGTTCACACGGCGAGTGTGTGTGAGTTGGGCTCTGAACCCTGGTCTGTGCCCCCAAAGCCCATAATCTTCCCATGGTTGTAGCACCTCCTCTGCGGGGGCTGGCCTTTAAATGGCCTTGTTTGGTCCATGTCTAGCCGTCTTACTCTCCCTGGTGTTCAGGATAACCACTTGGCCAGCTCCCCGAGAGCTTGGGAGCATCTGCTCTGGCCCCCCCTCAGTGGGGGCTGTGGTCTCAAGTTCCTTAAGCAGATTTGAGTGGGACGGTCAGAGCAGAATTGTAAACTAGGATGTGGCCTGTACTGAGATACGCAGGGACCGTTTGAGCATTGGAGAAGCCGGTGATTCTTGCTAGAGGACGTAAGTTGAGAGCGGGAACTCGGGAGCCGTCCAGCCTCGGTTCAGATCCTGGCTCCACGGATAACTAGCTGTGTGGCCTTGGACACGCGTGCTGACTTTTCTGTGTGTGTGAGTCTTGATGAGGAAAAGGCTGCTGAGTCAGTTAAAGCAGTGGCCCTTGAACTTTCCAGAGTACAGACTGCTTCAGCAAGGCCTGCTCCTTGTCCCTGGCCATCTCTGTCCCTGGTGTGGGCGCCGCCTCCGGGCAGATTCCATGCTGGGTTGGTCACAGCTTAGCCCTGCCCAGTATCTTTGCTTTTCATGGTTTTTCCAGCAGTAAAAGGTGTAAAAGATTACTCAGATCCTTTATCACTTCTGCATTTTGGTCCATGTCTAGCCTTTGCTCAATTATGTATTTACCATTTAAAGACACTGTGAGCATTAATCAAACAAAACACTTGCTTATTAAGACTACATCTTCTTTGTATCCAGGTCAGTTCAAACTTAGCACGTCTGAATCAAGCGTAATTCCCTTCCAGAAGACACTGGCTCTCTTTCAGGGTTCCCTGACCTGGGATCCTTTTGGCTCCTTTACACGTGAACCTGGGGTCTTCCTTGGCCTCCCCCTATTTCCACTCTTCCTGATCCAGGCCACCGCGTCATGCTGCCCCTTCACCTGGGGCCCTGGGGTTTCAGCGGCCTCTTCTCTGTCCACCGTTGGGTCTCCTCCTCCACCTGGCAGGCAGGTTGATGGCTTCACGGTGTGAGCACTGCTGTGGGAGACGCCCCCAAGGGCGGGCTTCTCACCGCTCTGGTCCGTGCGGGGCCTCGGCAGCCCCGTGTGATCGGGTGGACCCGCCAGGTGCTTTCATGGGCTGGCCTTTCTGCCTGGAGGGAGGCATCCTGCCCTAACTCTCCCGACTAAGGTAATTACCCTTAAAATTAATGTACTACGTTTGGTCACAGCAGTGTCTTACTGCTGCATTTTTTGTGGCTTCTGCGTAACAGTCTTGTGTCTGTTCCTGCTCTTGGTGTCTGTCTAATGAAGGAAAGTAGTGAGATGAGGACGGCCTTGGTTGCGGTCCCGGGAGCAGAATTAAGATGTTTCTGTGAAGTGTCTGGGCAGCTCCTTAATGTGTTCTCACGCTGGATGCTTGTGTTGTGCAGTGAAAGAGTGTCTACCCTTATCCCCTGGACCCCCACAGTGTCCTTCTGAAGGCTTCTGGTGACTTTTCCCCGAGTTTCCCCCCCCGAGGTGGTGGCTCTAAGTGGAGCAGCTGACCAGCAGCCTGTTGGGTGGTGTTGCAGTGAGTCTCACCCGGAGCATGCAGGTTCGGCCTCACCCGTGGACCGCGGGTTTCAGGCTGTGTGGATTCCAGTGTCCCGGGAGGAGCGGCGCCCCCGCGTGGATCGCGGAGGTAGTGAGGGCGCCGTGTGGGGCCCCGGCCCCGGCCCCGGCCCGTCGTGCCCTTCCTTCCCGCCGCCGCCCACGCAGCGACTCCGCCCAGCTCTGCGCTGCCCGCCGACAGCCCCTGAAGGTTGCGCTCTTCCACCGAGAGGGCCTCGTAGAGCCTCAGCTGTCCCGGGCAGTGCAGGAGAATGCACTGGAAACTGGTGGCAGGAAGGCTGGAGTGTGTCCTGGGCTCTGGGGAGGTTGGGAAGCTCCTCGGGGAAGGCAGCGTTTGACCTGGAGGGAGTGAAGAGAACTAGCCACTGACAGGCCCTGGCGCACCCGGTCTTCGGCACCCAGATGGAAGGCTTCAGGGTTGCTCTGAGACAGTCGTGTGGACTCGGCCAGCTGAAGGGCCAGGCCAGTGACTCCGGGGAGCAGGGTGATGAACACGAGCCCGTCAGAACTAGGGAGCGGCTTCGATGCCTCAGCGCTTGTCATCCGTCCAGAGGTGGCGCGCGTCCTGACCGGCTGCTCGTCTGCTTTCCCGTCCAGCCTGGTGTCTGTCTGCGGGGCACCAGCACTCTCCTGAGCGCGCACTGACCAGCACTGCCCTGGCGATGCCACAGAAGTCCGCTCAGCCCTTCCCTTCCTGCTCACCAGGCTGGGGGTCTTCCCACTCTCGCCCCAGCCCACAGTGAGCCTCCTGCCTCCCTTGAGGCTCGGGTCCTTCCCCCGGACCCCCTGGGTGTGGGGCCCTGGCCTCCTCCATTTTTCTCTCTTTCACCATCTTGTACCTGCATTTGGTCCCCGTACCACCTAATCGTGGGGTTTCAGAACAATTTCAGTTTCCATCTTTCTTTATTGGTGAAACGTTTTTGCTGCTGTTTGAAGTTATGACTTCAGTTTTAATTCTGTAGCCTTCAAAACATTAGTCAGTGATACTATTTATTTTGCTTCTCCCCTGGGCTTAGAACTTTGAAGCCATTTTTATTTTTAACTCAGGCCAGTCTGTCACACTTTCCGACCTTTTTTCTCTTTCTTGCAGTGGAGTGTTTCCTGGATTTGCTAATAACCCTTGGGTTGTTACAGCAGCCAGGCTTCAGTTCCCAGCCCCACGGGCACGCTGGCCACCTGAACACTGTCTGACGTTAGCACTCAGTTATCTTAGCCTTCGTGCCTCCCAGTGAGGTGGGCAGATAAGGTGCTTAGCTTGGAGACAAGCACCCGGTGAGCTCTGCTGAGTAGCGGTCGGCGACGGGCGCACGCGTCTGAACCAGGGCCGGGGTGGCCGGCCTTCCTTCACTGACCTGCTTTCTGTCCCCCGCGCCCCGCAGGCACGCACACCTGCAGCCGCCACAGCTGCCGCCCACCTGCTGGCCGACGCGCTGCTTAGAGTGGGTTTTCACTCACCCATGACACTTTGTGGCCGTTTCCGCTGCTCTAGAACCCTTGTGTAGCACGTTGTAGCCGCTGGAATTGGACCTGGAATTGGCTGGGTGATGTTACTTGTTGAAGATTCTGATCCTACTCTGACTTTTCCCTTTCCACCTTAAGCTCCTCTGGGATGAGAATCCAAATTGATATTTGTGTTACATCTTTCTCTCTCAAACTGGTCTTAAAAAACTTACCTGTTCTTATCAAAGCCATAAGACAGTTTTTTATTTAGGCCCCCTTTCTAGAAGGTATGTCTGGGTGTTCCTGTGGCCGCAGAATGAACACGCCTGCCTGCCCTCTCCCCGGGGCTGCTCATCACAGCCGCCGGGGACCACTGCCGGGCCTTGCCCTGGGACGCGTTTGCCATGAAAGTTTGTCAGGGTATTTTTATGGATGAACACGAATGTGTACATTTGTGATGGCCTCGATAGTCCCAGCTTGGTAAAAGTATGAATTGCATTCCCAGTCTTCATTGTTGGAAATCTCAGATGTGCACAGAGTAACGAGAACAGTCTATGAACCATGAACACGCACGCCCCAGTCGCTCTGCCTTGGTTATCCACCCACACGTCTCCTGTCTGTGCACGTAATCTCACCCTCTGGGTTATTTTGAAGCATGAAATGCTGTTTTGATCTTAGTGATCAACCCAGTGTCGTGGCTGAGTTGAAGGTCTCTGTAATCAGTCCTGGGCTCCAGTCTCACGTCTGAATATTTTTAGAAACCCAGTGATCACATACGAGCTTCTCTTTCCTCACTGACCTTCTGGGTCAGTCCTGAGGAGTAAACAGGTGGCCTCAGTGTGGTTCACTAAGTGGTGCTCCCTTCTTGCTGTCCCCTGGGCTGTACTCTGCCACTCGTGGGGCCTGGTCCGATCAGGGGTCTGCCGACAGCAGGCACGCCTGCTCAGTGTGGCAGTGTGAAGGCAGGTGCCCTCCCAGTCTCTCCATGTTTCCTTCTCCAAGCCCCTACCAGCAGACGGCGCTCGCCTCCGTCCCTCTGAGCCTTGATGCCCCTCAGTCTGGAGAGCAAGATGCCTGCTGGGTCTCTCATGGTCAGGAACGGAGCACGGAGTCTTGGAAGAGAGTGGGATGGAGATGTTTGTTTAGAGTTCAGACGATGCTTTAATCTGCATGGAAGGAAGCCTGTTGCTTCTGAAATCTGTATCCCACTGATGTTCCCTTCCCAATGTTGTATTTAAACCATGTGTGCAGTAAATCGCATTCTAGTACGTAAAACAGGCAGAGACTGTGATGCAGCTGGAAGATACGTGGCGGACGTGTTTGGTGCTTAATCTAAGAAATAGAGGCAGAGCCGGTTGACCCGCATTTCTGGCTACACGATTAACAATGATTTGTGCTCACAGTAGCTCGGTATGTATGGTGAAATTGAAAAACTATTCATTGCTGGTGAGAGGGGAAGTAAAGCTGTTGTGGAAAATAATTTGTGTATTTCAGTGGCCTCTAAAATACTCATTATTTAGCTAGCAGCACATTTGTGAGTCTGACTGGATTATGCTGACGTTATGTATGTAAGTTCACGTGATACTTAAAAACAGCCACTTACTAAGAGATGAACGGGGTTACCCACGTGCTGGAACGTCACTGACCTTAGTGACACTGGAAGGTGTTCGTGTAGAAAAAGCAGGACACAGAGACGGGAGGCGCGCGACCCAGACGCTGGAAGGAGGGCCGGGAGGCCCGCAGCCTCACGTTGCAGGGACTGCGCCAGAGAGTCGTGTTCAGCCTTTCGTCCTTGCTTCACTCTTCTGTACTTTTCTGAGTTTTCTGCAGCTGAGTCCCTTCGTGGTGGCAGGAAAGTCAGCTGTGTGGCTGGGGCCTCTCTGCCGCAGGTGGGCGGCCTGGAAGCACAGCCCCAGGTGGACGTGAGTGGGCGCGAGGAAGCTGGTAGGTTCCACCTGCCCGGCTTGTCGAGCCTCCAGCACTTGTTCACAGACACCGTGCCACCGTTGCACTTTTGTGTGGGACACACGCGGGCATCAGAACAGCTGACCTCCCGCCACCAGTTTCCAAGCCTGGTGTACGTGCCTCAAGTTTCCGGGGCGAGCTTTTTTAAATGCCGGCGTGAGGGCCGAGCCCAGCCCTGGTGAGCCAGAGTCCCCCTTGCGATGACAGCGGGTGTCACAGCGCGGCGTGGCCTCCAAGTGTGGGGGCCTGGGCTCGCACACCACTCGCCCCACTCTGTGCTGCACTGCCACGTGACCTCAGCACAACAACACCTAGTTCGCTGTTTTCCTCGCGTTCCACCCTGTCGTCTCGGCGGCTTCATAAACACTTTGCTTTCACTCCTTGACACTGCAGCTCCCTGTGGAGCGGCCCGAGTTTCTCAGTCACCAGGCAGCACTGTTCTGCCTCCAAGCCTTCAGGCTTCGAAAGGGCCCGCTGACGCCCGCTTCCTCCCTCTCCCCTGCTCTCCCCTGCTCTCCCCTGTCCCCACGCCGGTCCTCTGTTCTCTCTGCCCTCCCTGACGCTGCCCAGCCCAGAACCCTGGACAGTATTTTCCTGATGTCTTTATCTGCCTGGGGCTTCCGTATTGTGTTGGGCTCAGCTTCAGAGCTGAGGAAAGTGATACCTCCAGGCTGCTGGGGGGAAATGCTAGCGTTTGATGTTGCATGACAAACACTATTCTTGAGGGAGAGAATTGATTCAGCATGAAGAATATTTAGTGTTCACTCTAAAAAAATGCTTGTTCTTCCAAGGACTCACTCCAGAGCATACTGATCAAGGTTAGTCTGATAGCAGAAGGAAGGAAATGTGCTCTGAATATACCTTGTGCAAGAGAGGTTTTAGGAGATGTTCGTGAATCAGTGGGTGTTACCTGAAATGCTCATTTCCAGGAAACGGGGTGGGGCCCTTGTACGACTCTTTCTTCCGTTCCCTCTGCCTGCTTCAGTTTTCCCCGTTCAAGGAAGTGGTCTGTGCATCAGAGGACCGTTTTCCAGTCAGGAATTTCTAACATAGGATTCTAAAAAGCAGTTTCAGTCTTCAAAAATCCACGCAGATGGTGATGGAAGCGGGTGGCAGAGCAGAAACTGCCGGTAAAGATTCTGAAACCACCGCTTCTTTTGGCAAAAGTTCTGTTCAAGTTGTTTTGGTTTTGTTTTTCTTAGCTCTTTTCTGGAAACAAGTGTCCCATTCTTGATCCCGGAGAACATTAAGTACAGAAACAGCTCTCAGCTCTCGCCAGTTTGAAGCCATTGGCGTCCTGGTGAAACCAGATGCAGGTTCCTTCGGGTCCGCTGTTGAGCGCCGCTCACAGCAGCCATCAAATGTTCAGTGAGCCCTGAAATCAGAGTCTGCGTTTAGGTACAGTTTGTCTTTCATGATGAACAGGGCATATTTTTATCATCAGAAAAGTTATTTGAACGATCATCAGATGATTATTTTTTTCCAAAATGTAAACAGCTTTTGAGTTTAAAGGTAATGTGCTCCTGGAAAGGTCACAGAAAGTGGGTGTAAAGAGGAGGAAATCATTTGGCAGCATCTCTCGGAGCCAGGGAGGACCTGCTAGAGTGTGTGTCCTGTCAGCTTGGTTTGTGGCCGTCCTTGCGTGTAAATCTTTACTTCTTCGGGAAGCTGTTTTGGAAGGTGAGGTTTGGGGGTCTTAATTCTGACCACTTAGTGAATTGTTCACCTGCTTGCTGCTGAATTTTATAACACTCTGTCTATCTGAAGCGTTCACGTCTGGAGTCTCTTTCTGTTCAGCCCTGCGCGAGCCCGTGCTGTTAACGCTGTCTGTGTATAACGTGCTTCCTAAGACTGTCGGCGAGTCCCCTGTCATCGGTTCTTTTGAGGAGGGATGGAAGGGACTCTTCTGCATTTATGTTTGTGAATAAAGCTGTAATTACTTCATCAGATTCCCCCAGAAATCCTTGCAGTTGTTTAAAAGGGGAAGATTTATTTCTAGTAGGAAGCTTAATGTAAAGATATATCTCTTCCTTTATTCAGATTTTGTTTGTCTCAGCAAAATTGTCATTTTTCTCATTTAGATCCTATATGCTGTTAAGCAGTGGTTGCAGTATAAGTTTGGAAAATCCTTCAGGAAACTGAATTAGCCAAAATTGTGAAAACATTCATACTTTTGACTCAGTAACTCCACTCCTGGACAGTATCTGCGAGTTAAGAGGGATAGACCCCTTCCCCCGGGCTGTGAATTTGACCTTGGCTCGCTTTCCCGCTGTGTCCCGAGGAAGTAATCCCCCAAGTGGAAGGTCAGAAGTGCTGTCTGTGGCATTGTTTCCCCCAGGTTTTGACGTCTTAAGTTAAAGGTGGGCATGGCCGTTTAAGTGCTTAGCTCACCAGAAGGGCCATTAGACGCTGAGACTACACTGGAAACGTGGATGAGCAGTCTGTTGAGGGGACCAGTGCCTGGCCGGGGGCGGGGGGGACCCGGGTGTTTCTGGGGGTGCTGGGACCTGGGTTTGCAGGTGAGGGGCGCGGCTCGGGGTCCTGCTCTGCTGCCTGAGAGGGTCAGCCCGACCGGGCAGCCACACGGGCACACCCACAGCCTGTGTGAGCGGGATCCCCGAGGACACAAATGTGAGACCTGCCCACAGGAGCAGGGACGTTGATGTGTGTTTCCTGTTTTCTTTCTAATATTATTAAATAATACTTACTGAGCCAAGTCATGGAAACGCCTTTCTCTGGTCTCGGAGTCCGTGGCTTTCTTAGTTTTCAGGGAGCTCTCTGCGGAGCTCATCTCTCTGTCTCTTTCCTTAATTTGCCCTTTGGATTTGAAACTCGCCCCAGCTGTTGTAATCTGGTCTCTCACTCAGAATGTGGCACCCGACCTTGGCATGAGACTCTTCACCCGGGTCCGGGCCGGCCCTGGGGACGGAGGTAGGGCTGGGGGTGATGTCGGGGTGTACCTCTCCCCGCTGACAGAAAACCAGAACCACCCCTGGATCTGCTGGCTCGGGCTCGGCACAGCCCCGGGGCCTCTCATGCTGCCCCTGACCGGCGCTGGACCAGCTCGGGGCACTGACCAGCATGGCCTGGGTGCTGAAGGAGCGTGACCCTCAGGTCGGGTCACAGAGCCTGGGGCCGGGTGAACTGCCTCTGGTTTGCCTCCTGTTCCTGCATGGTTGGATACACCACTTTCAGGAGCAGAGGGCTCACCGTCTAATCCTGCCCTGGGGGCACTGGTCGGTTCTGATCTTTCCTTTTGGTACCACCAGCTGAAAGCCACCAGCTGACACCAGACTCTGACTTACTGGTTCTCCCCTGCCTTCGGGACCCTGGTGTTCTCTCTTCATCTCTGTACTTGGCGCACACTACAGTGAGAGCACTGACTCTTACTGCCCACTTAGTCTGTTCTGGTCACTGTCCTGAGCATTTTACCCATTCAGGCCTCACATCATCCTTGGGACAGATCCCAACAGAGAGGTTAAACGACTTGCCCAAGGTCACACAGCGATCAGCGGCACAGCCAGAGTAGTGGGGGTCAGTATCCGTGTGCTGAGTCACACCTGGCAGTAGGCGGATCTGTCAGGACCAGCCTGGACCGTTCTGGTTCCCAGACTGGAGGAATGACAGCAGGCTTTGTTTAACTCACTCCCTTCCTGCTTCGTGTGCGATCACTTCCTCCCCAGCCCCACTGAAGTTGGCAGTGAGGTACTGCCCCTGGCCTCCTGTCGGCTGTTTCAGTGTCTCCTGGGGACAGTGGGCCAACGCTGGGGGTTCTCAGAAGGCATGGTGTCACTTTTGAGGGCATTCATGTCCAGTCTTGATCCCTGATGCTACAGGCGATCACAGCCTTCTAGCAGGGATTCTGAGGGGCGTGCCTGCTTTCAGAGAAGTTGCTAATGTTGGGGTCCAAAATTTAGGACTCGCTATCTTTTAAAAGTTCCTGGGCCAGGCCCTGGGGACTGCAAGGCTGGTCTTGAGAAGTAAGGTCAGAGCTGAGCATAGATCAAGCGTCTTACATGCTGTCTGGTCAAGGCTAGAGAAGGCTGCTGGAAAGGCCCCAAGAGCCATGGCCAGGTGTTCTTCGTGCACTAACCCAGTCGTTGGCCGCTCTCCACCTGGCACTGAGATCCAGAGGAGTAGGGCTGTCTTGACGGAGATTATGAGAGAGAAGACAAATGAGTATAACACATTAAAATGTTCAGTACAGCTGACCTTTGAACAACATGGGTTTGTTGTTCACTTACACGGAGATTTTTTCTGACATACACAGTGACGACACCCCTCTCCACCAGGTGGAATCTGCGGCCGCAGGGCCACAGGTCCTGAGGGCGGACTGTGAAGTGATGAGCTGGTTCTCAGGGCGTGGGGGGCCGGTGCTCAGGGCTCAGCTGCGGGGAGGGAGCGGTGGCCTCTCAGAGGAGGGTGTTTGAGCCGGGGCTGGACGGCACCCGACTGGCTGCTGAGGAGATGGAGCATAATCCTCACTGTTCCAGCACCGGGGCGGGAGTGGATCCCCCTTTCAGACCCTCCCAGGGGTGGGAGC